AGATATTTTTAAATTGCATTTAAAAAGTTAATGGATGTATGAAAAACATCTTATTTTTTTGTAAAATAATCTTTTAAATAACAAAACAAATCAAATCTACACAACATTTTTCCCAAATAGTTCTATTCCAACTTCAAAATCTAACCAAAAATATAATCTGATTCAGCAATGACAAATAATCATAGTAATCTTAACTACATATTAAGTCTGACATGATAAATTATAGTAAAACATTCATTCAGGCTAACATCACCAGACCAAGTTTTATAGCCAATGATGATTCATATCCACCAGAGAATGGCTTACACATTTTATATTTTCTTTCAGTGATCTAAAACTAATTTGACATTTAGAATCCAGAGTAAAAAAAAAGAAAGATATTCAAATATTACAAACAAAAAAAACTAAAATTTAAAAGTTTAAACAATTGAAGATTTAATATTAAAAGTTTCTACTAAGTTCTTATATTTTTTCATGGTACAAAAGTTAAATATATTTATATTATATACTGTAGAAAAAACAAATCATCAACAGTTGTTACTGTTTGTTGAATTACACGCAAGGCTACTTGAGGGCTATCTACCCTAATCATCCCTCGTTTTGAAGTGACTAACTAGAGGAAAGGCAACTAGTCAACATCATCATCCTGCAACTCTTGGGCTACTCTAATCAAATAATGCACCTACAGAGCTAAAGTGTGGAGGGTTAACATTTTCCAACACTAAAAATGTATTTCCAATAGATACCTCCTCTCACATATTAGCTTTTCCTGATTTTGTGCTGCCCTCTATATGCATAATTTTTTGCTTGCCTCTAGCCTTGAGGATCTCCTAAACTCACGGGTTTTCACAACTTTTCCAAGTTGACTAATTTGACCAACCAATCCAGACGTGCCACCTCCTGAAGGATAAGAATATAGCTATAGAAGACATTTTGGGATTAAGTCAAATCAGAAAAATGTGCCGAAGATGTCTACCTCAGTCATCCCAAGACTTGAGGCAAAAGCCATCATAGGGTGAGAAAATCGAGAGAGGTCGAGAAACCGATTAAGACGTGAAAAATCCAAGACTAGATGTCTATCCATGGATTACTTGAGAACCACAAAAAGACAGGGAATAAATTCCCAGAGAAGATTGATAAACCCATCCCATAGGGATTTTAGCCATTAGGTACAACACTACTCATGGACTGACGCTGGCAAGAAACAAGATCCTTCGGAGGAAGGAAAGTAACAGGAACAGGAAACAATGGAGAAGGAGAGGAAAAAACGAAGGGTAAGGCTCTTTGACAGAACTCCCAGTACCCAAAACTCATCCAGAAATGGAGGACAAAGGTTCATAAGTTGAACTGAATGGGCCCTCCTGATCCTGAGCCTATATGATAGTCACTGCCAAGACTGACAGCACTGAAGTCTATAAGCAGTGGGAGAACAGAGGAATAGGAAGTGGTGACAAGGAGAGGAGAGAAAACAAGAGGACAGGAGACAGAAAGAGGCAAAGAAGGAGTACAGCAGAAATGGTAAACCAGTTAGAATAAGGAATAACATTGGGATGTGGCCCCAACATGAGAATACAGAAAAACAAACACTCCAGTAAAATCAGACTGGCAGATGAAAAGAGCCAGATGAAGGCATACACGATAAGAGGGGGTTGAAAGCACTTGAGTAGTAAGGGCATCACGCCCTAACAAACTCCAGCAACAAATCAAACAAATATGAAGTGATAAGGTCAAGGAAATGTACGAGTGTCTACCAAAATCCCATCAGGGGAATGGTGGATTACCAGGGAGAGAAGGTGAATGGAGGAAAAATAACAGAAAAGGGTAGAATGCAAGATGAAGGTGGGAAAACTAAAACCTAAGAAAGATCAACAAAAGACCAAATCTGAAGAAATGACTAAGGAGTTTAGAAGTCAATGAAACATAATACAGCATACAGTTTTGTCTAGTCAAATGAGGTAAGAAATGAAGAAGGATGAGGCATGCAAGCACCAAAGTTTTGGTAAAAGTAATCGTACATGGACTTGCATATTTGAATTGGAAGTAAAAACATAAAAGAAAGAAGCAGGGAATGAATTACAAAATGAAGGAAAAAAACATACCTGAGAAATCCAGTCCTGAAATGATGAAAAAGGCTTAGTTGGATTCAAGACAGTATGGGTATATCATTATGGAAAGGTAAGTGTTGGGAAAAAAAAACTAGCAAAATCCCATCACAAATGATCAATATAGGTGGCAGTATGTCATATACAAAATAAAGGTCCAGGCCACATGTAAGACTACACCACCCATCACACAAAAGCCGTCACTTCTCCCAACTGAGAAACACAAACCTGACACCAATGTAGTTGTTAGACTAGCAATGAACACCAGGCAAAGTGGAAATTACTAGAACTTATGAAATAATAATGTGGAAATAAAAGGCCAAAAAACCTGCAGGTGTACAAAATATTGGAAAACAAAAATTCAACAATAAATAGTTCCACAATGGTTAAAAAAAAAACGCCTATATCTGAAAAGTTCACGAGAAAAAAAAAAGACATGTTGTTACACACGAGTGCCAAATCGAGAAGTGATGATTGAATAATCAGTATAGAGGGAGTCAACTGCACTAGGAGGGTGTGTTGCATTCCTTTTGGTGAAGGATTGTCAGCACAAAATTGGGAAAGGCTAATATATGAGCAGAGGTAAGGTATCATATTGGAACATGATTTGTTTTTTTGGTGGTAGCAGTGCACAAACCGCGAAAACTCGATCCATAGTCTGATACACTAATCAGTGGGCCACCCACACACTTGACACATCACCAACAGTTCAGCTAAAGCAAAATTTCTCTGGATCATAAATACCATGATTCATACAAATATGATGTCATCGTTTAGTGACACTTGGAAATTGTTGTTCAATTTGATAATTAACTCCCAGTTTTGTCCATTTCTTTATATGTGTACAGCCAGACTGTTAACATAATCTTCTCTTCACAGAAATACCAAATTGAACAACAATTTCCAAGTGTCACTAAACGATGACATCATATTTGTATGAATCATGGATAATTAACTCCCAGTTTGTCCATTTCTTTATATGTGTACAGCCAGACTGTTAACATAATCTTCTCTTCACAGAAACAACAAATTGAACAACAATTTCCAAGTGTCACTAAACGATGACATCATATTTGTATGAATCATGGATAATTAACTCCCAGTTTTGCTCCCAGTTCTTTATATGTGTACAGCCAGACTGTTAACATAATCTTCTCTTCACAGAAACAACAAATTGAACAACAATTTCCAAGTGTCACTAAACGATGACATCATATTTGTATGAATCATGGATAATTAACTCCCAGTTCTTTATATGTGTACAGCCAGACTGTTAACATAATCTTCTCTTTACAGAAACAAACATTTTGTTAGTCTTTCATTTTTTATGTGGATCTTTTTGATAAACAACGCCTGATGAAGTATATATGAAACATAGAAATAAATACTCTTCAATCACAACTAAAAGCTATTTGTTAATATTATTATCACTAAAATCTACAGGTTAACAACTGGCTGTGTTTTAACAAATTTATTTAATTATAAAAGTCAATGTTTTTTTTACATTTAATAGTTGTCTGTACTGTCAAAATGGAGCATTGAAAAAAGAGTAACTTGAATTTTAAATAATGATTTAAACAAACCGTTCCTTAAAAGAACAAGTCACTTGACCTTTTTTTATTTTTTGAAGAAGGGATTTGTAAGTTCAAACTTAATTTCACTTAGGGCCTATATGTAAGTTTTGATTTTAAAACAAAAAATAAGTTCCAGTTCAGAAAAATAATTAATTTTATATATGCACAAATTCAGTAGAAACATGGTATTCAAAATATTCCTCTCAATGCTAGTGCTATACGAAAAACTTCTACATCACAGTGCTTATAATAATATTCATATACTAAACTTAAGTTACATTAAATCAGATTTAAAAAAAATACCCTCTTTCACTGTAAACGTTTATAATATTGAATCATACTTTATAATTGCATCCAATAGTTTTACCAAAATGTCCACTGAAGTTCTAATGTAAGTAGTTTTTAGGATATTTTTAAGTATTAATACGAGATAAACACCTTCTGATAAGTTATAATTTGGATTCAAAACAACTCAGCATCTGAAATACATGCCGATGTGTAATTCATCTTAAATCATTCCAAAACATAATAAGATTTGGCCACATAAAAGTTTGTAAAAATCTTAGCAAGTCTGCAAACAACATATAAGCAGAATAAAACTAAAAATTACAATCAGACAAATAGACGAATGTGAAAGTGTAAAGATAGTGTCGCTACTGGAGAAGCAACAACAGTGGTTCTTTTGGACTTACAGAAAACTTTAATTTTAGAGGTTTCACGAGCCAATACTTACTTAGAATGTCACTACTATAAGCTTACCTCAAAAGGTGATCAAAGTATTCCACAAATCATAGTTAAGATATTCCGAATACATATTAGAGGTACATAAAATAAAATACTTCAGTATAAATGTAAATACTCCTTTGTATAAGTGCTGGCCGTTACACTTGTTATAAAGAAGTCAAATTAAGTTCTTCGGTAAGACACAAAAAACCATAAATATCAAGAGAAAGGAAACTGATGAGCATATAAACTGTTTTAGAATTTAGAAATTGATCTGCAGAGTTAAAGGATGGACACACCATTTCCAAATCTACAATTTTACAAGAGAAATCTTCAGAGTAAAAGATGGATGATTTACACACACTTTTCAAGTTTATGATTTGACCACAAAACCTGCAAGACAGAAGATGAACAATTTAAAGACACACTGTTTTCAAGCTTAAAATTTGGGTAAGGACTTGTCTGAAATGAAATGGGGAAAAAAAATGTGTGATTTATATAAATATAGTATTTCTAAAAAGTACAAAAACAAGGGTTCCAGGGTTTGTCATCTATTTATGATAATATTTAAGAAAATACTTATTAATAAATACATCTGGATTTTTGAAAAACATGATAATTGTATTAATATCTTTAATTTCAAAATATTTCACAAGGAAGGTTACTTACCTGACAACATAACACAAATATATCCTTCAAATATCAAGACAGAGGGCATAAAAAACATTCCCAATTTTGTGACTACATCTTGGAAACTAAACTTGATGTATTACTCTTATCATTTTTAAATAATAGTAATAAAAACATTTGATGTTTCAATACTTATTATCTAAATCATTTTGCCATTTAAATTTGGACTTCTTGCTATATATAATCACATGCACAACGTAGGCTTGATAATACAAACATATTATTTTCCAATGTGAAGGGCCCATTACCCTGTTCTTGAACTTGTACATAAAATTTTGATTCAGTGTTTCACGCACAACAGTAACTTTTTTCTCTGAATGAGTAAAACAAATCATAATGTAAACTTATATTTAAAAAAAATTAGCTTGATTCACTGGGTATATCACTTAAACAAAAAAATAGTCATACAAAAAAAATATTCAAGTACATGAATATCACTTATCTAAATTAGCTCTCACCTGCTCCATTTTCTCTCTAATGTCCTTCATAGGCCCACAGTACATTATAAAGACATTCTAACTGCACACATTGTTAGCATAACAAACACCTTCCAATTTCATTACAAAAAATGTTCGTTTTGATTTAAAATATCAATATTAATACCATAAAAAAGGCATCTACAAGTTTTATACCATTTCAAGTTCTTTATTATATTAATTTCAGACAATCAAAACAACACAATTCACAGTGTATAACTTTTACTGTTTGAAATTATGACCAACTCCTGCAGTCTTCCAATACATTACAATAAAAATCAATTGATCTAACACTTGGATTTTAATTAAAAACAAAAAATTCACATATCACAGTTCCACACTTCTTAACAGAAAGAAAGCACTGATTAGCAGTACGGTCACATAAGCAACAAAGTTTGTAATTGGTTACACCTGTCATCTTAACATTATTTCACAAATAAAGGGTCTTTTTATGTCCTTTTCACATAATACAGATAGATATTTAAAATCTTTACAAGTACACGTGTATACAGTACTATAATAATTGTCATTATCAAAATCTGTTTCCAAATTAATATTATGAATTGAAAATAATGACACCAAGTTTTATTTGTAATGACACAGAAAAATGTATAAGTGATGTCACAGAATTGTATTTTTAATAAATTTTGTCTGTAATAACACCGAATTTTATCCGTACTGACAAAGTTTTATTTTTAATGTCACAGTTTATCTGTAGTGATACAGAGGTTTTATTTGTAATGATATGAAGTTTTATTTGTAATGGTATGAAGTTTTATTTGTAATTACAGAATTAAATTTGTAATTCTCATCTAAGTTAGTAACTTTTGTCACTATTAACAAACATTTGGAAGTTTCACAAACAAAAGTCACCACAAGAAAACTTCTTGCTACCAATATTTTTGGCCCCTCTCAGTACAGAATGAGTTGTGTGAAAAGTTTCAAACTATTTGTGCTTCTGAAAATACACAAAAACTCTGTTAGAAACAAAGTATTTTAGTAGATTAAACTAAAAATATTAAATACTGTGACAGTAGAAACAACTTTTTTCTTTGACAATTCCTACTCAATACTTAAAAATTATATTAATTTTCGGAAAAAAAACAACAAAGATGTAAAGTCAAATATTCTAGTTGATAAAATTAATACCGAAATCAATAGAGAAGCTTGATAAACAGACAAGAAAACCTAAATTTTTGACATCGAGAGCTAGAAGTTCTTAAGAATATCACATTCATTAGTGAACTCTCCAAACCTGACAAGTCTTCTTAGATGTTTCTCTAGAAGACAACCTTTCTTTTCAGAAAAATGAACCTTCCATTCCTGTTTCAATGAAGACTGTGTTCTGAACTTTCAGTAAGTTTGGTAAGGTGGTTGAGCTTGTTGGTAAGTGCTAAAATGTAAGCTTCATGGATTCTTGTTAGAATGCTGTCTTCATTCTGTTAAAGGATAAACAGACTTTAATTCAGATTCATACAACTTTCAAGAAGCACTTCTTAATTAGATTTAAGTAACTGTCAAATGCTAGCATTTCAAAACATTCTCCAAACTATCTTTAACAACTAAATACACGATATATATACATACCAGTTACACGTGAACACAATACTAACAAGAAACTCCCCGTGAACACTACGTGAATAGCAATGTGGATTATTCACTAATACACAGTTTTAACTTCCAAACTCTACTTATAATCTACCAGATATTATATCAAATTATGGCCTACTAGATTTTTAAACAAGAAACTGTGCACTTGGCAACACACTTCCTTCTTCTACAGATTATTCTGAAATCCACTGACACTCTTTCAAAACCAACGGGAAGAAAAAACATTTGTTTAGGTTGAATAGAGCTGTTTAAACATTCGTTAGGTTGAATAGAGTTGTTTAAACATTCGTTTAGGTTGAACAGAGTTGTTTAAACATTCGTTTAGGTTGAATAGAGTTGTTTAGGTTGAACAGATTTGTTTAAACATTCGTTTAGGTTGAATAGAGTTGTTTAAACGTTCGTTTAGGTTGAATAGAGTTGTTTAAACGTTCGTTTAGGTTGAATAGAGTAGTTTAAACATTTGTTTAGGTTGAATAGAGTTGTTTAAACATTTGTTTAGGTTCAATAGAGTTGTTTAAACATTCGTTTAGGTTGAATAGAGTAGTTTAAACATTTGTTTAACAACGAGTAAAACACTTAAATACACCATTTGTTTAGGTTGAATAGAGTAGTTTAAACATTTGTTTAACAACGAGTAAAACACTTAAATACACCATTTGTTTAGGTTGAATAGAGTAGTTTAAACATTTGTTTAACAACGAGTAAAACACTTAAATACACCATTTGTTTAGGTCGATCCTTAAAATATTTTTTACTCACCTATTAGCAAAAAAATCATCATCTGTGGTTCTCTACAGAACATTTTTTTTTTCTAAGTGAAATAGGCAAAATTGAGGACTTTTGTGACAAAGTTTCATAAATTATTTGTTTTTTCCAAGATAAGGTTATAGAACACTTTTCTTGTTTTAAACGTATGTTTTTCTTTTTAAATGTTATAATTTTCCTACACCGAAAACGTATTTCTGATAGATACTTACTTCTACTAACATAATAGCTTTTCTTGTTCAGTGCTGCAATTCTCACTCCTCACTAGCCTTGATACTCCCACCTACCCCCCACGTGTTTACACACGGTACAACTGCATAGCATCTAAATATACATGCACCAACCCACCACCAATATGAGTACAACACACCCTCCTGGTGCAGCTGATTCCCTCGATACCGTAAAAACCAATCTTCACTTCAAGATTAAGCACAAAAGAAGCATTAGAAGTAGTGAGGATAGATGCAAAGTGTGAGTTGAGGTAAGTATCTACATTTTCAGTGTAAGAAAAATTATAACTTTCAATACAATACCTTACCTCCTCTTACATAATAGTTAGAATCCCACATTGAACTGGTAGAGGGACCTATGTAAAAATTTACCTAGAGGAGCACCCTTTGGGAAGCATCTGAAATGATCCCATGGAGTGTAAAACCTCAATGAAGACTACACCACATCTGTACCAGGCACAATCTTTATACGCCACTAAATTGGCTTGAAAAAGACACACATCCAATGCATAACTGGATGCTCCAAATGGTGTAGAGTGGCTAGGGCACATCAGATCACATTCAGTGGGTTAACTCCAGTCTGAAACCAGACAGCATCAGGTATTTATCATCTAGTCCACGGTAGAAAAAGGGTCCCTACCATTTTTACCTCAAGACTAGGTATGTGACTCAAGGTAACTGATGGTGAAGGTGAATGTGCTCACAGCTTTCCAAGTCTTCTGATGAAGAAGGATAAAGATTTTTTTTTACTTGTTTTACAAGATGACTAGTAATGAAAAGATATAATAATAACAAACCTAAAAAAAACAGAGCACACGACGTGTACTCACTAATTATACTGACTGCTGTTTACATAGTGCTTCAAAGGAATCCTCCTTTATTGATATTGGAGGGGCAGAAAGCTCAGCTAGATACCATTGGCTTGACATTTGGACAACAAAGAGAGGACACTGTCAACTTTCAAGAAAACCTGCATGTTGAAAGCTCCCAGTGCAGAAGATCTTATCATTGGTTTATAGTCATTGATAGTTGACTTCTTGCTGGAACCCTGGTGTACTCCAAACTTTGATCAGGATATTACTCTCTGTGGTGTCTACAGAAACTTGAAGGCTTCAGCACATGAGAACAAAACATCACTTGTATCAACTATTTGATATCACAAAGCAAAAGTTCAGATTGAATATGAAAGGTCTGGTGAATTCCAGGTAAGTGTGTAGCTTAAAAGAGGGTCAAAGCTGCATGGTTACAATCTTTACTCCCATAGAATCAAGGGGCATTTCTATGAGGTTCACATGTGCTTGTGCTCTAACAACATGAACTATGTGGTCCACAGACGGCTTCGCTTGGTCTCTGCTTGACCAATACCATGTTTCCATCTCCATGAGAACAGGTAGCATGCTTCCTGTAAAATTGAATCCAACACACATACACTGATGTAGATTAGGCAATGCTTACCTTCACTTTTGACCTTTAGAATTCACTAAAACTTTCACGGTCTTTCCTTAGGGATCTTCCTCTACTTACAAGTTTAGATATATTTACATCTTAATTTTTCCCATATTTTACACTGTACCATGTATTGGAACACTGTTAAGAAAATATTTAGGTTTTGTTTGTTCTGAATTTTGCACAAAACTATCCGAGGGCTATCTGTACTAGCCGTCCCTTATTTAGTAGTGATGGAAGGCAGCTACTTAATACCACCAACTCTTGGGCTATTCTTTTAACAATGAATAGTGGGATTGATCATTACATTATAACTTGCAATTTCAGTTGAAATTAATAGTCCTGTCTACCTTGCTGCTTCCAAGTTCCCCAACATTTTGCAGGCAAATCACATGCTTTACTCTTTCCTCCGAGGATTACATCTTGGTGTAGGCATCAACAGCATACATTGCAGCATACAAGCCATAGGAGAAATGGGATAACCTTGCCCTTTCACTTGATACCAGTGTGGTTGCATTGCAGCACCATAATGTGTAGAGGGTTGGTTAACCCTTGACTACATATGAACCTGGCACAACATGGGTGCCTCAGAAGGGTGGTCTGCTTAAAGCAAAGTTACTGCAACAAGCTTCTTCTACTCTTGTAACCATCTTGAACTTACCACTTAATATACACTGTAACAGAAATTGCCTCAGTAAAAATCAGAAAGTCTTTCATACCTATGTATGGAATGACATTATGGAAATATTACAGTAGGAAGAGGGTCCTCTACTTTTCATTTTGGATTTTGAAACTGTTAGGGAAGATGAGCCTCTGTACAAAGGATCTGAATCATCATGTGCAAACATCCAACACAGCCATCTACATATCTGCCAAGAACCAACATCCAGAGGACAGTAGGAAGGTGAACAGCAGAGTTGGGGGTGCATTACCAGGCAGCCCTAGGTGAATGTATTGTCCAATCTGCAGTAGGAGGAGAGTATCCAACCACACACATGTGAGAACTTATGTGGCTGGTCCAGCTCCAGCCATCACCATATCCACCAGGAACCAACATCTGGAGGAAGGTAGGAAGGAGGGTGCCTCAGCCAGAGGGGCAAACTGCATGCTAGCAGAATGCATCATCCATCACCTAACTGCATTTATAACTGTACATCAGTTTTATGAGAGGATGAGTGTCAATTTCATATACACTGTCAGAACAACACCACCCTACTCTCAACTGAGTGGGAGTGAGCACACTCAAGAGGAAGCCTCCATGGTCCACAATACCAGTGGCTAGAGAATGGTAAATGGCAAGAACACTCATACTCCACTAGAAGAAGGGAGGAAAACAGCAAGGTGGAGAGTCTGAACGAATGCAGCATCAGAGAGAGAGTGCAATGGGTGATCACGACACCTTATTTTGCAAAGCAGACAATCCAGTAAACTACAATACATGGATCATTAGGGATAGGCCACTTTATTGATGTTAGTCCATGAGTGTACAGTCTCAGGTGAACATCTTTATGAAGCAAAATACCACAAGAAATATCTACAAGCAGTCTTGCAGAACACCCCATCTCAACAGTGGGTGTATATGACACACAGGTCTTACAGTGAGGATTTATGAAGAAGCATACCTGGTCAGGCAACACTTGCCACAAAGCAGGATCCTAAGTCAGCAAAAAAGACCCATGCAAAGAAAATGAAGAAAAAAAAGAGCACTTACCCACTCTGAGAGACATCATGGAGTGTAAAATGGCATTGGGAGGAAGACAATATTCCATAGAAGAAGAAACAACTAGGTATTGAAGATAATGAGCAGTAAAAGTATGGGAAGTGATCTAAATACTGGCACTAATGGTGTCCTCCAATGGATGATGGAAATGAGCAGCCAGGGGCATGATAAAATGATGAATTTTATGGAAAGATACACGGAAAAGATGACAATCATCAGGAGAAAGGGAAGTATAAGCCAGGCGAATCAACTAGCAAATCCAACCCATAAGGGTAATTGGAGAAAGGTCATGGGACTGGGAAGGCTTACAAGGAATAAGTAACTGGGAGTGGGAATTAGTGCAAGCCACATAACAGCAGAAAGCCCTGACCAGGCACAGGAAGCAATCAGGATCAGAATGGTCATAGTGATATGGAAAGAAGATAGATTAGTGTGAAGGCAGAACTACCCTCTCGAGCAACTGAAACTTTGGACAGAAAAAATGACCACATTGGAACTGTGAAATAAGTGCAGTGGACATCTATTAGCTAAACCATACAAATGACAACATCCACACACCAATAATGAAGAGAAAAATGGTCTCCAGTGACAAGTGATATAAAGAACAGGTCAACAAGGGTAGTTCAAAAGTAAGAAGGGTAAGAGCATGAAGGATGACATTGAGGTTCAATCCAAAGGCAAGGCAAGGAGGACCGGCGATGCAGAAAGAATAAAACAAATGGTACAGGATGGGTGAACAGAATACATAGGCATAATGTACGATAGCCCAAGAGAAAGATCCAAGTTAGAAAGGGAACAGTTAGATGGTGCGGAGGAAACAACAATGTATGGACCAACTACAGTGTATACCACTTTCTATAGGTACACTGGCATGGAGGAAGGATAGACAGAATGGGAAATCATGGTGCTGTGAAAGTCTAGCCCACTGAACCAGGGATCTGACAAAAGCCATGCATGAAGCCTGGGTGGGAGAATGGACAGATGACACATACCAGACTGGGGATGATGTAGAAAGGTGGGGGAAAGAGGGAGAGGAAGTAGAGGTGACACCAGTAGTTAGCACAGAAGTGGAAACTACAACTGAGCCAGCCAGTATGGAGCTATCCACCAACAAAACCTGACACAGAGTGGTCTAGTTGATGGAAAAGACCCAAGGAAGCAGATGAATGGGAGGGTAGCCAATCCTAATTGTGAGCATCCATCTCTCCAGCCAAAGGGTGTGGAACAGGAGACTAAAACTGTGGAAGCAAAGAATTGAGATGACTAGCAAAGGCATCCAGCCCTTGAACATCTCACCAGGCACAGAACCCCCAAAACACCCATGAGTACAGTGACCACTCTGTAGGGAGAATTGTGTCAGGACATGATAAATGATCCATGATAAGATTCAGGAATATGACAAGTCAACAAAAGACTATGGTGGCTGTGGGCTGAACAGAGGAGGCTAGTGTCAAGAAACAGAGGTCCCTTGACAGAGTGCCCTTTGCCTGAAGATGTATGAGATTACTGTTGTGTTGTTGGAATGCACCATTACCAACTGGCTCTGAAGGGCCAGAAGGAAGTAAACCAAAGCCTGACAAACTGCAAGAAGCTCCAAGAGATTGACATGGAGAGAGGGGACTCTGAGAGAGTCCATCTCCCAATCATCCAGATAAGCACCAAACCAAAATAAGAAGCATCTGTAAACAAAGAGGAGGAAGAAAAACACCAATAGTGGTGGTGTCTTCATCCAACCACCAAGTGAAGTCAGTCTGTAAGGAAGGAAGAAGAAAAAGAGGGGTGTTCAGGGGATCCAGAGTGAGGCTCCACTGGTCCAAAAACCCACTGAAGGTGATGCATGTGGGCATGACTGAGAGGGATGAAGGCTTCCAGAGAAGCCTGCACCTCCAAAAGAGAGAGAGAGAGAACCTCTTGTGCAGTGGGAGAAGGACAAGTGTAAAGATTGTGAGCTAGAAGCTCCATAGCCCTCAACCAAAGGGAAGAAGGTTGGGGCCAAAGATGGTGCTCCAAAAACCAATGGCAAACCTCAAGAATACAAGAGGCCAGAACTAGCAAGGGAGAGGAAGGAAGAGGGGAGACACAGGAGGGGTTTGGGACAAATGGTAGGCTATGGAAGAAAATGAGGTATGCAATTGGGCTGACTCAACTGTGGTCTTCAAAGAGTAAGGAATGTCCCAAAAACCTCCTGGTGCAGAAAAGGTGCCACGTGCAAATCATGTAAAGATTAGGGAGGCAAATGAATCCAAGACAAAAGGGGATCCCAACCCCAAAATATTCCATGTTTGTCAAACAAGGGTGGAAGAGGAGAGGCATGCCAATGTGGAAAACAAGAGATTAGGAGTCTTAAATGAAACCCCCTCATGGAAGCAATGAATAGCCTTAGACAACAGGTGTAGGGAGGACAAGGAAAGGAGAAAGGTGGACAGGGTGAGACAAATTGGGTAAAACTGGGGCTGGGAAAAGGAAACTGGAGTATAGGGGTCTGATCCCTAAAAAGGGTTGAGTGACTCTTAAGTGCTGCAAGTCTAAATAGGGAAAATTATAAAAATTAATATGTCAGAGCAAGATCAATCAGAGTATGGGGGGGTGGGTGAGGCATACTGACACCCAAATGCAACTGGTTCCCAAAATGACACGTATGAATCCCAATATCCAAAGAGGGAGGAAACATTAAATACTGATCCTATGGCTCATCACTAAAAAGGGCAGGAGTAGAATCATTGGAAGTGGGAGATAAAGACAAAACATAACATACCTGATTGATTAAGTTCACAATTGGGAAAGAAGGCCTGAAACAACACTGAACTGTGAGGTATTGGCAGGAGAAGGAAATAGGCTGACAAAATTCTAATTGTCATGTTCAGACTCCCATGGTATGTGTAGACAATCATCAGGTGACTCAGAAGACTGGATAAAAAAAAAAAGCCAGAGTCATTACTTTCTGAGCAGATAGTTTGTTCGGATGCCATTGAATTGGCTGACAAATCAGTTATAGTAGTTACAGCAGCTGTGGTAGATGGCACATGGAATTGCAATTGTGTAAAAAGCGGAGTTGACAGGGGAACATTTTTCTCCAGAATTCGCAAAACCGTAAACATTTGAACAATTAGGGTTGAAAGTAAACTATTTTTACTATTAAGTAAAAATTTAGTCTGAAAACATGAGCAAAAACATGTCCTGACAATTACACTGCCAATCAAGAAATGGTTAAAGGCTGCACAGAAGAAAAAGTGCTAGTGACAACAGGAGTTGTGTCACACTCTAAGTGGTAGAGAGTTGCTGCATGCAAATGTCTCATGTGAATACGTGAGGGTACGTGGGAGTATTAAGGCTAGTGGTGGGTAAAATTTGCATCCATAGAGGGCAGTATAAGTCGATAAAAGCTATTAACTCTCTCAAAATGGGCTCAGTCAATTTGACCGACCACGTGACCTCTTTGTACTCGTTTAAAGTTTTTATAGGTTAAATACTTCTAACTTTCAATATAGTGTATATCATCACAAAATTTGGCAGTCTTTCACATACAAAAAATTACATATTTAGTGAAGTATTTTTAATAAACTAAAATAAAGATTTTTCTGCAAATATATTGAGTATTTG